TGCTGGAGTCCCTACAAGAAGTTCAGGTGCAGGGCTTTGAGAACTGTTCTGCACATGTGTTCCAGGATCTTATAATTGGGGCCAGGGAGATGGCTTGGTGGAATAAGCACTTCCCTGGCAAGCACAAGGGCCTGAGTTCAATCCCCGGTTCTGCAAAAAAAAAAAAAAAAAAGGATCTTATAATTAACAGGTCACATCTACTTCTTCAGCCAGCTCTGCCATGCCCTAATCACCTGTATCAATTTAACATTGACCAAAATGTCCTGCCTGACACATGGATAATTCTCTTTTAAGAGACTCAGTAGAACTTGTGGTTAATATTAAATGGCACAGAGGATGTCAGAATAATCCAAGGTTTTAAAATAAATACTAAGCCAGGCAATGTGGTGTGCACCTGTAGTTCCAGCTACTTTAGTTAACGTAGTAAAATCCTTTATAAAAAGTGCATGCACTCACACTCCCAAGATGGAACTTGATGATAATGTTTGGAAGTATGCTACAGAATCTCTTTATAGATCATACTCTTCCTAAGGATAAATTTTGTTTCTCCAATATAAATAAAAGACTACTGGCTGAGCATGGTGGTCCATGCCCATAATCCTAGTACTCTAGAGGCTGAAGCAGGAGGATTATTGTGAGTCCAAACAGCCAGCCTGGGCTACAAAGTGATTAAAAGGCCATCCTGAACTGCATAGTGAAACCCTGTCTGGGGCAGAGGCATGGGGGGCAGGGAGGTGACGCTATCTCATTCTTTATTGTGAGGATATCAGTATGTATTCATCATGGAGGTTGAGTGTTGCCCCTAACTTCAAAGAACGGTTTACAGCCTCTCATTTGTGACTGTGCTTAGTAATCAGTCCCTTTGTTAAAGGCAGCTAAGTTAGATAACAATTAATAGGTAGTCAGACAGGGCCAGGCCCTCAAGGAGTCAGTGCATAAGATGAGGACATCAGAACTGGTGGAATCTGAAGGAAAAAAAGAAAAAGAAAAAACTGTTGGAGGCACATCTGAAGAAGGCAAGACCTGAAGATTAAAGTCACAATGTCCACATTTATATACTTCCCTGAGGTATAAATGAAAGTTTAAAATTGTGTGTAATTGGTACCACCTTGTTAAGATTTTCCATAGAATTTGACCATTATTTCAGTAGGGGTGGGCCATCCTCTCTTACCAAGGCTATGCCTAAAACTATGAAGTCTAAGACAGTAGATAGATAATCAACCAAGGTTAATGATGTCATCCATATGTCCTCACTGTGTGCCCCACTTGACTGTTAGATCAAAATTAGCTAAGCAGCTATACTTGTAATCTTATTAGTTGGTTATAGTTTAACCCACATTGTGTCCACTTCATGGCTTTGTTCTGTAAAACATTCTTGGAGAGATGACCCTGGTAGCAGCCCATTCAGGACTCCTCCTATCTTTTAGGAGCTATTCTTGTTTCCCATTCCCGAGCTTCCAGTTATGTGCAACTCATTCCTTTTAGCACCTGAATGTGTCCTAGTTCCTCTCTCAGTAAATCTTTCTCCACTCTTAACCCATTATTCGTTAATTCATTCTTTGGTTTTAAGGAATATGAACTTGACATACAAGGTTGGAAGCTATATCTTTCCTATATTACCTACTCAGTGAGGTTTGCTTTTTTTTCTTCAGTTAAGTGACAAAGCCAAATCATTAAAGCCTGAATATCTTACAGCAGATTCTTTCAGTAGATTCTGAGTTAGCCATTTACATTTTTGCCTTCTCCATTTCAAAATGTCATTATTAGATCCAGAATCACCCAGTATGATTCCAAATCAGGATTTGTCTGGGCATTCCAAAAGCTTTCCTGTCAAGTGTGCACTCCTTTCTGTGTAAACGATATAACACCTATGTACATAAACATTGGAGTCATATATACCTAGGTTACTTGGGACTAGAAATTATCATGAAAGGAAAATGTGGATAATCTAGAGTTCTCTCACCAGCATCTTTCACCTACAGTGTCTTTTCACCACTCCCCTAGTTGTTCTCCAGTCCCCTCAATTCATTTACCATGGCTTCCCTCTTTGCTACTCTCCATTGTCCTACATGTACTCACACAAAGCATTAACAGACTGAATCAGCTTGGTTTTATTCCTTGCTTGCAGATTTTTTTCCCACTGCTCCAGTTAGCTTAATGGGCTAAGGGGGCATGGATAAGTGTAACAAGGGCTGTGTGTGCGCATGGGTGACATGCACAGTTCTTCAAACCAACAGACTTTACATAGCTATGTAGCTGTGCTTACCCTAACACTGTTCTGCTGGTCTGAGTGAACTAAATCACATACTCTGTTTGGTGTTTGGCAGAAAACTTGGAAAGTTACAGCATTTTAACTTTAATAACATTTCAATAGGTGAGACTTTGAGCTAGTGAGTTATTTATGTGATTTCTAAATATGCATCAGTTCAGAATGCCCCTACAAGTATATTTTTCCTAATTATTTAAAAATTAGAAACTCTAATTTTTTGAGTTAGAAACAAATTGAAGGAATGTGCTAAAGAGCATTTGATTTGAAATAAATAAAATTCATATTCTAAAAGCACTATGTATAGCCCGGATTATATTTCCATGTTGCTATTAATCTGTTTCCATTCATAAGGGAGTTTTATCTAAATATTTTGTTATTGTTGGCAAGAAATTAAAGTATAAATCTTCTCTCAGTGATTTGTTTTTCTCAGTCTTGGCTTTTGGACCAAAATAATAACAGCTTATTATTTTGCTAGAAACTTCACATTTCCTCTAAAGTATTTCTTCAAAATTGCACAATACTCTTGGCTATCATAAAAATTACTTTGCTTAAAATACACTCCCTTTAAAGGCGCAAGAGTACAAGACATACAGACACACACACAACACACAGCCACATACATATCTTTCTGCCACATATTTATTTGTATTCAAGCTAAGATTTGGTTCTCTGACAAAATCCTGTTATTATGTACTTCGAGAAAATAGACAAAGTTGAGAACATGTGTTCCATTTTATTTTCTAATGTCGAAATGTGGAGTGGAGAATATTATAAGTAATGGGTAATTTACTCTGACCAAATTATCTATTATGCACATGCCTCAGAACAATGTATGATAAGCACTATGCATATTTACATAGGAATCATAACACTAAGAGTGAATTTGGAGGAAAATGTCGAAAATATCCTCTAACGGTTATATTCTTGGATTTTATTTACTAGTTCAATAGAGATGTACTATGGACAGGCATTTGTATTTTTGTAGAGCAGAAAAGTGTAAAAAGTGACTGTAGAATTTCCTGTTGCGAATGAAAGAGAGCTTCCAGCTATTTACTTCCTGGGTGGCGACATTCCAGCTGGACAGACTGGTCACAACACATCTGCCAATCAGAGTGGGTCCTGTAGGAAGTCCTTGGATGCTGAGGCTTGTTTACAGGCATTATGCCTCTGTTTCTCCCTTCTGCCTAAGTATATACTTGAAACTAGGATCACAGCCACAGCAAATGACATTCTGGGTAGGTAGAATTTTAGTTCATCTTTAGCCACAGGTAAGAGTTACTGCTTTGTTACACAAGGATGACTGATCTCTCTCCAGTTTCTGTCTTTTGTTAGCAAAACTAATAGACTAAAACCAAGAGAGGAATGATTTTTTGAAATGATTATAGTATAATGATTACAGACTTTAAGGGAGCAGCAATGCTAAATTAAGACAAAGTCTTAAAAGATGTTGTAATATTAAATCAGTGTAGAGAAATTAGAACCAGAAGCATCAACATTATGCACTTGGAGAGTGTTATATTTAAATAAACATGTTTTATTGTGAATCTTTCAGAAAAGTGTCTTAATTGTTTCCTGACTTTTGCTTTAAAATTTTTTTATTATTAACCATTCAGCAAGAGTTGGTACATACATTTAATGTGTAAGTTTTATTTCTTTTTTTGTCCATATTTCTCTTTAGACTTTTTAGTGTACATTTTTGTCATAATGTTTATACAGCTTTACTAGCACTAAAATTAAGTATGAAAAAGAATGTCTAATCCAGGCTTTACCATTAAATTCTGACTTGCTAATACTAATTCAGAAGATAGTCAAGGAAACTATGTTGGTAAAATTCCTTATGGTTTTTTGTAAGAATAATTGCATAGGACTATTGTAGTTTGTCTAATGCTTTCTATTGTTAATTCTTCCAAAACACTGATGGTTTTTTACTTTAGTCTTTTATTATTAAGCATATACTAGAAAATTATTACTCAGATTTTTAAGACTACCACGCATCGTTATACATGTCTGTAACAAGAGCATTTGGCAGGGTGAGGCAGGAAGATGACTGTGAGTCCAAGGCCAGCTTGGGCTGCTCGCCCAAATTCAAGGCCAACCTGAATTTCATACTGAGACTCTGTCTCAAAAAATAAGCAAAGACTTTGTGTGGGCTTTGGGTTTTTCTTATATTTGATAGTCTTCCAATTAGCTAATAGCATTTTGTAGCAATCTAGAAAATCACTTTTGAATGTCAGGCAGCTCTGCTTTTATTTCGTATCCTCCAACAAGATTTCTCACATTTAGCACTTCTAATATGTTGTATGAAATAATTGTTGGGTCAGGGAGTTCCCTATGTTTTTCAAGACACTCAGCACTTCTGGTCTCTACCCACAAAAGCTGCTTTCCCCCCAGTGGATAATCAAAAAGAGAGAGAGAGAGAGAGAGAGAGAGAGAGAGAGAGAGAGAGAGAGAGTGTGTGTGTGTGTGTGTTATCACACCTAATTGCTAGTGAAATACTGACATCCAACTTCTGTATATTCCGGATTATAGAGAGTTAAGGGTGAGGTTCTTCTGGCTTTGGCGTATTTGCAGATGTTGTAGCTGGTTGCTCATCTTCCCCCCTCCCCATTCTGTTAAAATCTTCCGCCAACCATGATTCATGGAATGATTTTTTTGAGCTGAGTAATCTGTGGCTTTTCTGTTTCCTTACTTTCCTTTCCTAGCTAAATCTGTTTTGGTTTTGGCAAAGTATTTAAGCAAAGATCTTTTAAGTGAAATAGTATTTGTGAATAGAGCATTTCCCAAGTAGATGATCTTAAACTATAAAAAGTTTCTGCTCCTGTCCTTCATTATGTCCTTTCTGCCTCCCTGCTAGCAAGTCCTCTCTACTCCAAGGAGGAACAGTGTTCAGGGAAAGACACAGCTCCCTTGTGACACCTAATGGTGTGCCAGATGGTATTGAAGAACTTTTTTCAACAGCTTTTTAAGAGCATTTGACTTACAACGGTCTTCTTTCTTTGCAGATCGCAACGAGCGAAATAAACCAGAGCATCGTTCTTCCAGGTATGAATTTATAATATTTAATAATTCTGTATAAAGTTTCTTATTTGAAAAACACTGCAGTAGTACAAGTGTCCTGTCTAGAGTTTCTGTATACTGGAACTTTCTGTGGCATTCAGAGAAGCTTCACAAGGGAAATACTTTTACTTCTCTGAAAAAAAATTTCTTTATAAAATTATTGCCTACTTGGAAGACATGTTTTACTTGTAGAATTCCTATCAGTGACAGATACATATTCATAAAAGATGATTTTCATGTGCTTCCTTTTGTGACTTACTTTGTTCTCTCTTTAATAAATATTTTATAAATGTATATTGATCTTTTGCTAATTATACAACTAATATAGGCCAGAGAGAATAGTTCAGTGCTAAGAGCTACTTGTCTAGAATGTACTGTGTTCAGTCTTCCACACTGCAAACAAAACAAAACAGAACCTCAGTATCTCACTATAGAAATTCAGAGAATAATTTTAAAACTACAAAAAAATAAAAAAACAGCATTTACTCTGCTTTGCATCAATCAGAGGTGGCTGGCTAATACTAGCATTCTGCTGTATTTCTTTTTTTATTAAAACGATTTTTTTAAAAAGTCTTTAATTTGTTTATTTGGTACAGGGTCTTGCTATTCAGCCTGGACTCATAGTGATCCTCCTGTTTCTGCCTCCCCAGTGCTGGGATTACAGGCATGCTCCACCACACCCGGTTTTAGAGGCTAGCAGGGCAAGCGTGGAGTTCAGAGCCGGCAGGGCATGCAGTACCATGGATCAAACCTGGGTCCTTGTGCTTGCCAGGCAGGCACTTAGACCACTGAGCTATCTCTCTAACCCCTGTATTTCTTTCTGTACTTCTTATAAAATACATTCACACAGAGACACACATGAATTCTTTTACATTCTTTCAGTAATTTCAGGCAGAAAGTACTACTTTTTTGTTTGTTTTTCTTTTGCAATACCAGGGATCAAACTTGGAGCTTTGTGCTTTTAGGCAGGCACTTACGCTGCTGAGCTATCTCGCTGGCCCCTTCTTTCAGTAATTTCAAATGTCCAGAAAGATTATGTATGTCAAAGCTTCATACCTACACAAAAAGCATTTCATTCAATATTTACCGGTACTGAAGATACTCCTTAAAATGTTTTCAAACTTGTGAAAGTCAAAATCTGTCTTTCTCTCCTAGGTAAGACTGACAGACTAAATTAGATACATGTTTTTAAATTTTTTTTAGTTTTCTTAGTACATGTGTGCAGTACATATGATTACATTCATCATGGGAGGTTGGCACATGTACATAGCACATATTAGTTTGTTTTACTTCCCCTTGTCTCCCTCCAACTATAATAGAAATGTTAATTCATTCTATGAAAGATTGTGATTTTTCTAATAATAATTCCTCCTTATTCCATATTGTGTCACTTTGTTCAGTCAGTTTTCTGTTTTTTGGGATTTTTTGCATTGTAGAAACTGATAAAATTGTAATAATTTGTTCATTAGGTTGACTGGTTAAAGAAATTCTTGGCCAAAGACCTTAATAAATAAAAATGTAAAATATCTGATAACTCCATTACCTAGAATAAAAATGCATTTTGCAGAAATTATCAAAAAAATTAGTGAAAACTAATCTGAGAATAAAATATACCTGGATATTTAGAATATTGACTGATTTTTTTTTTTTGTTCAGGCATATATTTTGGGTATATACTAAAATTCACTACTCTTTGTGTGTGATCTTGTAAGTTTCAGCAAACATAAATTGTGTCAACTCCCATAAATAATCCACTTTTTAAGATTGATTTTAAAGTAGTTTATATAAAATAGTCCCAAAAATGCTGCTTAAGAGAAAACTTTGAACACATAATTGCATATTTAAGTTGGAAGGGTAGGGGAAAAAACTTGGGATGATAAAACCCAGATTTATAAAAATTTTGACATACTGAAGTTTCAAATGAATTGAGTATTATAAATTATAATACCATTTAGAACATAAAAAGGTGGGGAAATGTAACTTAAGCAGTACGTTGAAAAAATCTTGAAGACAGCTCTTCATAAATTCATAATGAGTCAAAAATTTTATAATTGCCTCCACCTTCCCCCAGAAGGGATTTGTATACATTTGCTTACCATGAAATAAGTATAATACATAATATATATAAGATGGGAGCTCTCAGATTACACTTCTTAGCTAGTCCTACAAAAGATTTTTACAATGTATCCAATTCCCAGTTCATAAGACCTTGGAAAAACTCACTATGCCCTAAATTGCTCTGTTGATGTCATGTTGGGAGCTTAAAAACAAAATCTCATGTCCTGCTCCCGGAAGTCTACCCAGTAGTGTGGAACAAATCTTCAAAATATGTATATGAAACAGGTTCCCAGTAACTCTAACACACAGCCAAGTGATAGCCTCTAGTCTGTCAGTTGAATTGGGATCGGGAGTGTGGACACCATCCCTTGAAAGATAAGCTGGCAGTGTATGTGTCTAGATGACGCATCAGTGGTACACACACCCAGCACATACAGAGTAGTTCTAGAAAGTAAAAAATAAATAAATGAAATAAAGTATTTTGTGTTTGTCTTGACACACACTAAGGCTAAGAGATTATTTTAAAAGAGACCAAAGAGATTTGGACAAGCAAATGCACTATGTGCATTTAAAAAATAAATAAATCTGCGAGTAAAAAAAAAAAATCTCAAAAAATAAAGAATTGAAGAGGGGACAATCAGAAAAGTTTATTTAGATCTGGATTTTGGTTCACATAGTACTTATTAACATTACACTCAGGACCAGGGAGATAGCACAATAGAATAAGTGCTTGCCTGGCAAGTGCAAGGGCCTGAGTTTAATACCTGGTTCTACAAAAAAAAAAAAAAAAAATACACTCTTAGGTGTAGAATAGGAATGCCATAGTAGATGTAGTCTAATGTTTGGAACCTACTCTCAAATAATTAAAGGAGTAGAAACAGAAGGAATGAATGATGAAGGCCATATTGGAAACTGTTAGTGATTGAATAGAGGCAGTACATGTACCAGAGTAAATATTATTTAATTGTATTGTTTTCTTCAGCTTCTCTGAAAACTTAAAGTTTTCAAAGAAGAAAGTGGTACGCTGGGTGTGATAATGCACACTTGTAATTCCATCCCTTGGAAGGCTAAGGCAGGAGGATCCCCATGAGTTTGAGGCCAGCCTGAACTACATAGTAAAACCCTTTCTCAAAAAAAAAAAAAAAAGAAAGAAAGAAAGAAAGAAAGAAAGAAAGAAAGTAAGTAAGTGGCAGTGAGGGGACAGTTCATGTATTTATCAGGTCTGAGAGCGCAGAATGCCGATCTTTGGGTGGAATGTTGCGGGGCTGAATTTACGCACAGTATGAGGAAGAATTTCCTTTCAGAACCAAGCAAAGATGGAGTGACATCATTTACACCGTAAGCAAATCCCATCAAGGAAAGCTAAACAAGCTGCCTGGGAGTAAAAGTAAGAGAAGGTTCCCACATCTGTAAGTCACTATTCTGGATGGCTGAGCCCCTTGCTCAGTCAATAAATATTTCTTGGGAGTCTCTGTTGCAACTCTTGATAGAATTGAAAACAGGAAAAAAAAAAAAAAAAAGCTTTGGCTTCTTGGAACATCAATTGTTTGGTACTTATCTGCCCAATCTCTGAGAGTCTATGTAGCCTAAGGTCGCAATCAGGTCTTGAGCTAATTTTTGTTTCAGCCTGTGCCTGTGCTACTCTTGAGGGTATATGAGTATGATGATGATTTATTATGTATTAAACCCAAGAGCACTCTACCACTGAGCTAGATCCCCAGCCTCCCCCCTTTTTAAAATTTATTTATTTATTTATTTTGGCGGAACTGGGGATTGAACTCAGGCCCTTGCTCTTGCCAGGGAAGCGCTCATTACACTGAGCCATCTCCCCGGCCCCTCCAGCCCCTTTTTAAAAAATGTGTCTATTATTTCTTTTGTAGTGTTGAAAATTGAACCCAGACTCTTCACACAAGCTGCATCTCCCAGTCTTTTTACTTTCTTTGTAGTTGAGACAAGATCTTGGTAAATTCCCCAGGCTGGGCTCAAACTTGCCATCCTCCTGCCTCAGCTTCCCAGAATGTTAGAGTTACAGGCATGTACCATCACATTCAGTGTCCTGATTACCCTTTCATCTCTAATTTATACTTTCCAATCTCTACAACTGTGCTGTTAGTCTTGGTAACTCTAGCAGTAATAAAGTAGCTGATCCACAAGAAGCATTAACAGATTAACAAATAACTATTTCAGGGAGGGAATGGGAAATGTCAAGTTTTTTCTCTTGCAAATTGGGAAGAACCTGCCTTTCCAAAGCTTGCTTATGACTATTATTAAGTATGTTTATTAGACTAGCAATAAGGAAGAATGCCCCATAAGCAATAAAAGAGTTTTGAAAAGAGCATTGTTTTGTTGGCAGGGTGTCTGCTGAGCCTGGCAGTGTACTGTCCTGTCCTCCAGCAGGCAGGGCTGTCCTCACCAGGCCAACAGTACATCATCTAGCAGGTTAATACCTGCTGCATCTGTGAGGCAAAAAGAAATAAAAGTCGCTTAATTTCAGTATGTTTTTTGGTTCTCCTCAGGCCACTTGGCAAGAAGAATAATGGACTGGATGCTCCACAAGGATAAGAGAAATAGATTTGTCTTGTTTGTGTTTTTTACAAGGCCAAATACTTTGATAGCTTTCAGTAAGAGGTGCATAAATCTGAGATGTCTGCCTCTACTTTCATTCCAGTGCTAAATAAGGAGGCATAACTCTTGTCAAGTTAAGGGAAAAGTTTTATCAAATGTGGGCTGCTCTAAAGAACTCAAGCTGAAAGTACTTTTGTAAGCATTGTTAAGAGGCTTGAAGGGTATCTTGATTACTTGGTTTGATGTGTTTCTAAAAAGAATTATTTGCTTCTTGCTGGTTGGTCAGTGTGGAAGTCAGAAATATGTTCCTGAATTATTTTAAACATACCACATTTATTAATTTAAACATACCACTTCACAAA